TAATAGAGTCTAAAAAAATACACGTGGGTTGAGGATTTTTGCCTTGTTAATCGGAGGAAGAAGGAAGGTGCTTAGCGCAGTATTAAGTTCCTGTATATACACACTTACACACTTACTCTTAAGCCTCATTCCTGTGAGGATCCTTCATGGAAGACACCTCCAACAGAGGAAGACTAGGCAAAATACTGTCAAGATAAGAGTTGTTCCTTATCAGCCAGCTTCCTAGATGTAGTATGCTTTTTCCTTTTCTTTTGCTTTTCCTCGTCTTCTACCCTTTGATGCCACATACGCATTTTACGTTCCCCTAAGTCATAGCATATAGTAACACCTTTACGCTTGAATGATCATAACAATAAATGCAAATAAACTGCTTTCACATGATGACTTCCTCATGTATTTTAATAATTTGTTACTGTCAACAGTTCCACTTTGCAGGGCGCTCTTGACTTGCTTTTTTAGGTGAGCTGGTACAGTGGTAACACCTAGGCTGGTCAATTTATAATCGTACATGGTACAGATGTCTTCAAGTTGTTCAGTGCATACAGTATTAGTTCCTAGATATGCTGTATGTATTTTTAAACTTAATGCCAAGTTGTTCGGTTTTACATCCTAGAGTGTTTGAAACTAAGCCATAGGATTTATGCTTGCCAATTCTAAATTTAAATGTAATTTATCATGTATGTCATGCCAAGGAGAGCAAACCTGCAGGCATCTGCTCATTCAATGCACCTGAGAGATTTGCTGCTAAGTAAGCTGTACGCGTGTAAATTTTGTGGCAATAGAAAAAGGAATAAATGGTCTGTAAACATAAAGGATTGAAGTCGGTTATGTGAGATGTCTGTATGGTCTTTGTCCGCTTTCTGCTTTGGAAGCCTTGCAGAGGCCAGGGGGGTTTGTTGTTTTCGGGTCAATTTATTAGGTTCTTGCATTATTATGGCATCAGTCAGAAGAGGGCAAGGATGTAACTCATGAATTTTTGAGCACTTCTAATAAATGTCTGTTTCACTCATCTGTGCCACCTTGAAGCTTTTAAGAAGCTCGCTGTGTTTAGCTGCAGTGCTGCATCCACTACACATACCTGCTAGCCACCAAAGTCTCTGCAATTTGTGTCCTTAGTTTGTACTGGCAACGAGAGGTGTAATTGCGGGGAAAGTCTTGCTCAGTCCTAGGCTCTGAGCTCTGTAGGAGAAGCAGCACGCTCAGAAGTCTCTGTTAAGCTCTTCAGAGGTATGTATTCAACTGTCCTTAGTTCTCTTCTGGAAGTTTAAATCCAAATAAATAAGTTGTCCTCTGTACTCTCCCAGCTGGCATCCCTCTCCAGGGGTTTCACCAACCACTGGCCGCTTTGGTATCACACGAGTCCGTCTTCCTTCTCCTGTAAGAGCGAAACTGCTGATGCTGGTACTTGAACCTTGGCAAGCGCTTTTCCTTTCCAGTGCCAGCACCAATAGCTTCCCTCAGCTGATGCCACCCAGCATCTGGCACACCAAAAGGCACAGCCCTTCTGAAAGGGAAAAAGTGTGATGTTTTACAACCCTGAGAACTTTTTTTAAAAAAATTCAATAAAACATGTTTTCTGACCTTTGCGTTATGTACAGTGTGCTGGGTAGGACTAGGTGAGGGTGAGACACCTCTAAAATGGGCTTTTTTGGTTATCAGCTGTTGACAGAATGGTCTGCAACTGCAGCTACCTCTACAACCACAGGCAGAAAATTCCGTATTTCAGACAAGTGGGTACAATGTTCACCTCTTAATGAGAAGTGCCTGGGGAAGCTTAAGGGCATTCATATTCTGATTGAGTATAATTATTGGGATATTCCCTCTTGTTAGTGCATATACTTGACAAATTCCCATGGGTGTTTTCTTGTGCCTCTTTCACAAGCAGTGAAATGCTCTGTTGTTAGGCAAACCCTACAGGCTTCACGTCATGACATAGGCTTTCTGCCAAGAGGGTACAGAACGCTGCGGCAGTGTTAAAGGCATATTTTTCCTTTAAGGCAGTAGTGTAAAGCTGTATGAAAATGTTTCATCCCCACTATTAAAGAATTGAGTAAAGCCAGTCTATTTTTTCCTGGATCGTAATGAATGTGTTCTATAATCGTTCCTAAAGGAATGAGCCCGTTGCCAAAGTGAAACCCTTCACTTCAGTAGTTGCAAAGATGCTGCTCTGACAGAAGTCTGACACCTTCCTGATTTCGACCCTTGTTTTCCAGGATATGGCTCTGCATCCTTGGGATGGGTGAACTTGAAATCAAGAGCATTTCTCTACTGAGTCTGTTGGAGTGGCAGAAGCATCGCTCGCTCACGGGTGAAGTGCTTGGGGTGTAGTCTTCCTCTTTTACTAAAAACGCTGAAGGGCTTGGGGTGACAGAGCAGTCTCAGTCCATTTGCTGGTTCATTTCTTGATAAAAGACAGCAGTACCTATATAGCCCAGAAGGCCTCTCCGGGGTGGTGGAGATCATTGATTTGCCTCCCCTTGGGTGGAGGAGGCAGGTGGAGCCCCCTTTGCTGAAGGCATGCTCTCATGTTCTCACCTAAGGGTTCAAATGCAGTGGAGCTGAAACAACAGCGTGTTGTGATCAACACAAAGTCTTTTCTCCATCCTGCCTTCCCGTTGCTTTTTGTCTGGATTCTCCCCATCTGAAACTAGTCATGTACGCTAAGGAGAGGATGCCAGAGCTGCATTTTTATCTGATTTAACATTTACCACACATTTTTTGACAGGTCTACTTGGTTTGGGGTTTTTTTCCTATTGTGACTATGTATGATAAGTGAACACTTACTCATCTTAATGGAGTTACTGTATTTTGGCTGTGTTTAAGATATGCAAGTCTGATATATTACAAATAATTGTCTCTTTTGGGGGAGCCGAGGAAGGTATCAGTGTGCCTAACCTAGCTCTGCCCAGAAAGCTCATAGTAGCTGAAATTACCACATAAAAAGGAGATCACGTGCAATTAACAAATTAAATACAAGTTAAATCCTTTGTTGTATGTTCGGTTCTGCAGAGTTGAAAAATAGAACTTCTCTGAAATTGTCTCTGGGATTTCATTATAGCCTTATTTCTGAAGTCAAAGATTTTATTCCTAATTTGGGCTGCGTTGCGAGGAGCCAAGTGTGCGTGCAACAGAGTGAAGTCCACCCTGCAAAAGGGCAGTGCAACTGCCAGCCATCTTCAGAAGGAAGAGATAAATGGGAAACTAAGAATAGCTTTGCCCATTCTCAGGAAGGAACCTTTCATCTGATCATCATCACTAGCTCTCCGCGGTACCTCAGCAGGTGATTTCTCCTGCCCTTGATTTGCAAATACAACTTCCCATGTGCTCCCAAATTGTAACGCTCTGTGGGAATAGAGAATGCTGCAGAAGGGTGCATGGACCTGTAACGGAGACACCAACATCAGTGTGCCTGGTGGGGGTTTTTTAAGCTGCCTTGGCCTTAGTTTTCCCTTTTGAGTGTTCACGTTCAGCCATGTAGAACCTGAGGTAACTCCGACAGCGCGGGGGTGACACTAAGATTACCTCTACGTTGCTTAAATGCCCCGGTTGCGGGAGGTGGTGCCTCTTCCCACAGCCATGCAGGGCAGAGGGGCTGGCACCCTCTCTGCTCGTGGCGAGCCGTCTCTGGAGCAGGCTGGTCACGGCCCCACTGCAGCACACCTGGTCCCTATATAGTGCCCCTGGTATCCTAAGCCATAATTGCCTTTTTTTTTTGGTGCTTTTTCAGTTCAGAGTTGTTCCTTCCTAGCAATGAAGACACACTCTCAGTGTCCTCTTCTTAATACTCGGCACTTCTGTTACCCAAGTCCTAACCTTTAAAAGAGGGGTGTACTAACGGAGGCTACTTTCACCACGTTGGCACCTTACTCCTCACAGTGTAGAACAGGGATGGCGATGCTTATCTGTGTTCTGCAACTGCATTACGGTTTCCTGTGAAGTACAGTGATATTTCTACAAACATCAGTAACTCGGTCTGTGATCAGCTGCTTATCTCTCTGAGTGACGGGAGGACTCTGCTGGCCTTTTCCATCTGAATAGCAATCAGTATTGCTTTCTGAAAAAGATCAAAGAAAAACAAAGACCTTTCCCCAGCTATCCTTTATCAAAATTACAGTCGAGCCAATCAAAGCTTTCTTTTTATTCACCTAAGTTTATATTTACATTTGTATTTCTATCTGTAAAGTAGTAGTAATTTGTGAGTCGTTAGGACAGCGTGGATGATGACTCGGAACCATGATGTGAGTCAGTCTCAGCAGACCCCTTTAAGGAAGATGTTGAGCCTACAGAGAGACATGTTTGTGGGCAAAATACATTTAAAAAGCTGCAAGACTAGAGAGCCCCTTCACGCACTGCATGGCAGAAACACAGAAAAAACCTGCAGTAACAGAATGAAGCTCATAATTTCACAAGTATCAAGTTTGAAAGGATGGTATTAATAAAGCTCAGTTCTTATTAAATGAGATTTCTTCATGCGTGAACTTTCTTGGTCTCAGAGGATGTCATTTAAATGCATCTTTCAAAATAGTTTCCTGCCAGAGTCCAAATGTGGGCTGCACCTGAGCTCGGCTTTAGGAAAAAGTCAGTCTTTGCCAGGGAGTAAGAGGCGTGGGATTAAAGTTGGTATTTTGCTCAGTGTTTATCCAGGGGTGCAGTGAATTAGCAAAACATTCTTGTGGAATAGGCGGAACAGAGCAAGAAAGCTGTTGACAAAATATCGCCATAGGGCGTAATTAGAAATGGGAGAGGTTGTCTGCATTTGACTAGATTTCTTACTGCCTAACCCTTATTCGAGTGGTTACAGAGTTTAGAAACTCCTTTTATCGCAGGGTTTCCTTCTGACTGGTCCCTGAAAGGGAGGCTAACTCCAGCATATCAGAAAAGGGCAGGAAAATACATTAATTTACAAGTTATTAAATAAATAAACACCCCTGGGGAGGCATCTGTTTTTCTGGGTGTAGAGTTACTTACGCTGGGTAGGGCTAAGGATTTCCTGGCTTGCTTTACGCTGGGTTGCAGAAACGAGCCTTTTGCACTTTGCTTTGCAGGTCTGCCCTTGCAATTTCATTGAACAAAGCCCCTGCAAAATCCCTGGGTTATGAAATATTTCCTCTTCATCAGGTCCTGGACAAGAGATGGCATCTGCGGAGCCAGAAAAGGAAGTCCTTGCCTTATAGAGAGCGCTCTCGGTGTGACACAATGGCTGATATAAAGTGTCGGGAGAGCTGAGCCGAAGGCAAAGGAACAAAGGAAGATCAAGATTCGGTGGCTGTCTCGGACAAAAGGAAAGCGGAAAGTGTCTCGGGGATGGATAAATTTAAGGCTGCGCTTGTGCTGGCTGGGGTAGGGGATGCTCTCGGTTATCGCAATTTCTCCCGAGAAAACAATGCCTTAGGTGCAAAAATCCAGCAGGAGCTGAAGGAAATCGGAGGGCTTGAGAACCTGGTGCTCTCCCCCGACAAGTGGCCAGTAAGTGACAACACGCTCATGCACATGGCTACAGCAGAGGCTGTCATCACAGGTAGGTACGACGGGACTAGCGAACGCAATCTGGAAAGGAACAAAGCTGTTGAGATGCTGCATTTCTTAAAAAAAGCATAAAGTGCTGGGGAAGACGTGAGAAAACATGTCAGAATGCTGCTTATGTGAATGACAATGACGTGCATTAGCTTGTCTCCTCCATGAGCATAATCTTGCGACCATCACACCAGCTGGGGAGTTTTGATTTCTTGAGTGTGGAGGGGCTCTCCCTATATTTTCCCTAGGTTTATACAGTTGGTTAAAGCTTAAGGATGCATGTCCAGCATAACAAAAATAATTGCTAAAAGTAGATTATCTGTACACTGGAATACGTCAGGGAGTAATATAGCCACTAGAAATTCTTCTGTAAAAGATAAGAGCTCTTCTGAGTGCATGTTTGTGTCGACTACTCCAGGCTGGAGTAGAGTCACCTTAATACCTCTTTCAGGCTAAAATCACTGGCACTGTCTCCTCTTTGCTGCCTCTCGCACAAAGTGTTGCACCTTGCAAGGCCAGAAAAGGAAAAATTTGCTTTAAAAGGAGAGCTCCATGTCTTTAGTCCGAAATATATTCTAACATGCTATGTTTATAATAAAGTTTATCAGGATAGTGGGAGCTATTAATATATGTCTTCTAAAATCAAAATAGTTTGAGAGAGAGCATTTGTTTTTCTTAAGGTAGGAGTAGTCTTCTGTAATCTGCGATGATACTTATATCGACACCCTACCCATTGAACTAGAGCTTTCTGAGACTGTCAAGATCATCGTCAAAAGTACACCAGAAGACAGTGACCATTCAGTGATATTTTGCCTCTTGAGAACAAACCAGATCTTTTAATCTCTGTAAAAATATTCCTGATTTTTCTCAACACGCATAACACTTGATGAGTAGCAGTAGCAGAAGCTCGCAGTGTAGCCAAGTATCCTTCACGTCAATGAAATTTCACTTGTGCTTCTGTTTCACCGCTTTATCTGCCTGCTTCCAATCTGCTCTAAATTTAGTACGTAGAGATCAGTTGAAGAGTGTGTTGGACACTTCATGCTTGGCTATTAGCTAACCAATGGTTTAAGGGGTAGCTAATACACTAAAGATAAGGGCAAGATGTCAGCCTATCAAGAAAAAAGATGACTAACATATTTCTGAATATAGGCTATGATTAAATACATATCATATGTTCCTTGCTTATTGAAGTCTTTAAAACCGTATCTTCTGGGTAGTCAAGCCAGTTAGACTAGCAATAAAATAATAAATCTTATTTCTTAAATATAGCAGGAGTACTGTGGCTCTAAAGAAAAAAGTGTCAGCTGTGTTTGTCCTACACACTCATGTCTTTGACCTGATCAGACCAGCTTTTTAAAAAGGTGTTTTTATGGGCTGGTGAGAAACCAACAAGCTGGTTTGGGGAATTTTAGTAAGAAATCTTCATTTCATAGGAATGTTGGTGAACAGGGGAAAGCGAGTCCTTCTCTCTGCTTCCCACAAGGGAAACAGAACTGCTCCTGCCTGCAGCAGTGACTCCTCCTGGCAAGGGGAACGCAAAAAAGCCACTGAGCCTGCTCATGGCCCAGCCAGCATGCCAAATCACCCAAGTCAACTGAGTGAAGCTAAAGAAGGTGAAAAAGTCTGGGAGGCTGAAGGTGGCTGCCACCAGCCCTGGGGACCTGCTTTCCATATGCAGCAGGGAGCCCTCACTGCCATGGGGCTGAGATTTTAAAAAATATATTGGGTGTCTGGAACATTACCAGCCAAAAAAAAAAAAAGAGCGTGAATAAGGAATAAAAATATTCCTGTCCCTCACTGCCGTGCTCCCTGCACGTTCCGCTCACCTGGCTGGCTGGCTGCCGGCCGCAGGCAGCATCCCCTGGGTGCATCCAGGTACATGCGGGATGCTTGCAGGCTGGGCTTGAGCTCACCGTGAAGTCCCGTGGCTGGGGCACTGCCCTCGGGGGAGCTCCCAGCCTGAGGCTGCGGCAGCAGCCAAGCGTGAGGTGGAGGTTTGTGTTAAGAACGAAGGCAGTTCTTGCCTGGGGAAGTGATTCTGGCCAGTGCTTTGCCAGCTGCATGGAGGACATCCCAGGAGGGCCACGGCCAGAAGCAGCGGGGGGTTGCGGGCACTCCTGCAGACTGAGCTGGCGCTCCCCAAATCCACCATGTGCACAGATGGAAAGGTCGATCCCACCGTGAAGGATAAACAGAACGTCTGCTTCCAGTAGGAATCTGTCCCATAAGGGATGAACGAAAACAGCATCATCAAAAGCAGGGGAACTACCCCTGCAATGAGGAAAGCCTTTTCCTCTCTGACTTAAACAAAGGTTTTTAAAAAAATAAGGGTTCATTCCTAAAGAAGAAACCCATCCTATCGACTTGACAGCTGAGACAGCAGCCTGGCTCCAGCAGTGGGAACCGTGGTGGGCTTGGGCATCCCAGAGCTGCTGGACCACAGGGACTCTGGCTCTGGGGACAAGGCCTCTGCAGAAGCTGCTGAGCGGTAAATCCTGCTCCTGGTTCCCATCTGGATAAACTGACACCTGATTCCTAAATCTGGAAAGAGTCTGCAGCTTGAAAGTATCTTGTTCCTCTGGGATTGTACGTGGGATGGCCAGTGTAACTGGCCTTTATGCAAAAGGAGGGGAATCTTGGTTTTACCCTGCATCTTCTTTATGCACCTGGCTGCCTAACTGGTACTTCTGAGTGGCTCTGGCTTATGGAGCTCCAAACTTTCTCTTAAATTAAACCTCTGCTGTGGATTTCAAGAAATCACCGATCTTTGGCAAAATGAAGATATTTTTAGAAGAACTTCCCCTGCTGTGTCATTTGATCTGTGCGTCAAACCAAGTATTAAGTAGAGTTTCTCTAAGTACATAGAAAAGATGTAAGTGAACAAATCCTGATGGCCTCCCTGGTTCCCATTGATTACAAAACTGCAATAGATGCCAGTGGAAGCTTTTCCTCGGCAAGAACCCAAGGCAGGGCTCTTCAAGCCCAACAGCATACAACAGCAGCTGAGAGAAGCAGCTATATTGAAGAAACAATTTATGTTTAACGGGGGAAAGGTTCCTCCTTAGGCAAGACTGTAGGCCTTTAATAAAATTAATTAATAAGTAGATATTGCTAGTGAACTTATTCCAGAAAGAAATGTATCTGTTCTGGTTACTCTACTAACATAAGATATTGGGATCCCTGCATGAAAGATCTACAGATTTTAGACAAAATGAATATAAAATACAGATTAAAAATTAAGGTCACTAATTTTCTTTTGTGTTTAATCATACATACTTCTTTAAAATAACTCAGTGGTAATTTAAAAAAAAATAAAGGCTTTCATTTTTAAATTGGATTCGTGTCTGCAAATGAAGGCAAAGGCACGGGCTGAGCCAGGCACAGCTGGCTTCACGCTCACACCCCGTCCCCCGGCAGCAACACACACACAGCTAGACACCTCTGCAAATACTTCACACCACAGAGCCTAAATAAAGCCCCTGAGCAGCTACTGTTGACGAACAGAATGCCTTCATCTTTCCGATCAAAGGTTTAAAAGTGGAAAGGAAGGCAGGAAAAGATGAGAACAGAGAGATGAGGCTGTTCTCTCTCCAGGCCTCTCTCATGGTGCGTGAAAACATGTTGACAGTGGCACCAGAAACACGACTCAGTGTAGTGGAAGTGGAAATAGGAACGTTTCTTAAATGCATAGTGAGCTCGCATCTTTGTTTTCGGTGCTCTCTTGCTCTTCTGCCTTCACACAGCAACCTTCTCTTCCCTCCTCTGAGCAGATTACTGGTGTTTAGAAGACCTGTACCGGGAGCTGGTAAAACGCTACGTGGATGCTATCGACAAGCTCTCGGGGAGGCGGCCAGACCCCGCCACCATCGAAGGCTGCAGGGAATTAAAACCAGACAACTACCTTCTCGCTTGGCACACACCGTTCAATGAAAAGGGTACGGTACCGCTTTCCATTTGTAGAACCTGGCTTGAATAATGCATGCTTTCAGCCTTTGTGGCTGTACGGAAATTGTTTCCTTTTCCCCCTGACATCAAAAGCTACTACCCCTGAAATGTTTCTATGTTTGCCTGAGGATAGCAAGAGATCTGCCAGGAATTCCTTCTGTAGGGCACTATGTCCTCTCGTAAATGAACCCTTCCCTCTTTAACATCTATTTAAAGAGACTCTGTTCTTGGCTCTGTGCCTCAGGGTCCAGATCTTTGTCCTTGAGTTTAATGGTTATTTTAAGAAAATTTTTCTGCCATTTTTCATTTAAATGTTTGTAGGCTTGGATCTTTTCAGTGATGGCAGATCTGAAACAAAAAGCTGAGCTTGTAAATTGCTCTAAGCACCAATGTGTTCACTGGAGGGAAAGCAGAGACTTTTCTCCAGGTGGATGCCCTGCTAACAACTATAACTGTTTTGCTGATAATCCCTAATATTCCTAAACCCTGTTTCCCTACCCACGACCCTCTCTTTCTTTCTCTCTCTTTACGATCATTTCATTTTATGATTAATTGAATTTCTAGTTCAAGCTAAATAACATGCATGCAGCTATGTGCACACACATACGCACATACGCACATACCCATACGGTGCAATTAATCTTGAAAGCCTGTAGAGAGACCATGTCACCAGAGGATGTAGACCTAGACAGCCACAAGAAGATGGCAGCTCACACAGACGTTGTGTTGTGTCAGTGTGATGCTCTACCACTGCAGTACGTACCGGCACCGCTCAACAGCATTGCACATTGATGCAACATCGTGGCAAAGACCCGGTGGCACAATGCCATGGCTATTTCTGGGTCTCTGCAGTCAGTTTTCTCTGACACAAAAAACAGCCCTCACTCGGCCCCCACTCCTCACAACAGCTGCTGGGAGGGAAAAGGATCCCCTGCTTGTGTATTCTGTCCACCCTGCTGTTAGCCAGGCGGATCTGAGAAAGTGCCCCCTTGGCAGTTGTCATATGTTTTCTGGTTAACAGTGAGTAAAACTTGGTCAACATACTTGTGGGAGCTGCTGCTGACCCTAAGCAGCTCTCAACACCTCCAGCAGTGGAGCATGGCTGTTCCCTGGCCTGTTGCTGTGCTGGAGCCACATCTCTTCTTTTAGCCTTCCTCCTCCCCAGCTTTCCATGACAAACTATTTGCTTTTGGGATGCTCTGGACTAGAAGGATCTAAAATGAATTCCTGCATTGAGACCTGGCATCTAAAGCTCACCTTCACCATCTGATCTGACAAATATCATCCTGAACATCTCAAGAAGCCTTTTTTTCACCCTAAGAGCAAAAGAACCAGTGACCTGAGGTGGAGATGTTCAGCATACCATAGGACCTGACACTGCTATGGACATAATTAACTTTTTAATTGAATTTTCACAAATTTCTTCTTAAGGCAACAAGATTCCACAGGCATTGAATGCCTTGCAGTTGGATGATATCTTGGATGGGCTGGAACCAAAATGTTGGTTTCCTGTGGTCATTCTATCTTATCTCACTGCTAGCAAGAATTCCTGTGCCAGTCCTCATGGAGCAGTGAAATCTTAGCTTAGGCAATTTTGCATTGCTTATATGATGCTCCTCTGCTCAAATTCTTGTGGTTGTAGTCAGCACACTGAGTTCTTAAGTCGAGCTACCCTATGTGTCTCATTGCCACTTCAAGTCATGCTGATTGCCACACTCATTGCAGAGGTACCTGGATTATGTCACAGGCTGGTGAGATTCCTGTGACCCCCAGAAGACCTGCCCAAGGCTGCCTACACTTTCCATTGTAAGAGCTTGTTTCCAATTTATGACATTGAAAAGCTCAAGGAGAAAATTTTCACCATTGAGTGTTTTGCCTCTGTTTGTCTGTCAGCATTTGTTTAAAGTTTTAATGCAGGTGAGCCTGCTGTCTCTGAGACATGGTAAAAACGTTTTGTTCCATTGCCAAACCCTCAAATTGTTCAGAAGAGAATCGCTGAGAGCTGGAATCAAAATCTGAGTAAGGTGGTAGCCCTTGAGCCAGAGGTGTGCCTTCGGAGCCACTGCGACAGGCCAGTCAAATGGCAGCTTGGCCCTACCTGCATCGTGTGTTTTTCAGGCTGAGGCTGCGGCATCCAAGCAGGTCTTTATTTGCAGCTACTGGACCAGCTGCTGGGCTTCCTAGTAGCACTTGAGAACGGTGCCTTTTTGCTGGTGGCATTGGTAGAGGAGCATGAGTTAAACATAGAAAGCTGGGAAGCAAAAATGAAGAGCAGGATAAGCCACAGATGGACAGGAGATAAAGGTGCCAGGCTCTAAGTTCTCATGCAGAACGGTCTGTAGTCACAAAAGACACATCGTCCTCAGGGCTTAGCAGCCGTTAAGCTGATCTCTGTTATTCCACAGATGCAAAGTGAAGAAAAGCACACTGAAGTATTACATACTAAAAGACAGTAACGTAGTGCATGAATGAAAGTGATGTAATAAGAAAGTGTCAACACAGCTTTTGTAACAAGAAGTCACACCTCAGAATTCTATTAGAAAGCTCATGAAGTAGCCAGGAAACAGGAGGGAAAAGGAGACACTGTGAAGGTGGTCTGTTAGGATTTCCAAAAGACTCTCAACAAGGTCCCTCACCAAAGGCACTAAGTGATGAGGCACTAAGTTGCTGCAGGATGGCGGAAAGGTTCTCCTGAGGATAGACAACTGTTTAAAAGACAGTAAATGAAGAACAGGAGATTGCAGGCTGTTTTTGCCATACAGAAGGAGATACCTGTGTCGAACCTGTGTTGTTGAACATGTCAACAAACTATCTGGAAATGCAAACGCAGAGTGGGTCAGCAAAGTCAAAGACAATATGAAGCAGAGTTGTGGAAGATGCTTGCAATGATGAGTAACTGTGTGGCAGAGTAGCAGAACCAAATGCAATGCAGGTATCTGAAAAGTCATACACAGGGCGGGGCAGAAAGCCCAATTTTGTATACATCGTTGCAGTTGCTGATTCAGTTACCATGCAGGGAAGGGATTGTGGGGCCATAGTAGTCCTACAAGAACGTCGCTTCAGTGCTCAGTAAGAGCCAGAAAGCAAATAGACTATTAGAAATGTCTGGGAAAGAAACAGACAACAAAACACAAAACATCTTTGCACCACTGTATAAATCCATAGCTGCTGTTTCTTGATATAATCTGTATATGTGTGTGTGTATATATACATATATATATAAAAACCTGTATATAATCTGGTCCCTCCCTTCCTGCAAAAGGATGTAAGAGAACTAGAAAGGACATGAGGAAGGATGGTTAGATCAGTAAAATACTGCTTCCGTAGGCTGTGATGTCTGAGATAGTACCATACAGAGCTGTAAAGTCACAGATAACTTGGAGAACACAAATAGGGACAGAGAAAATTCACTGCCTCCTCCAGCACAGGAACTAGGAACTTCAAATGGAACTGACAGGTCATGAGTTCAAAGCAAGCAAAAGGAAGGACTTCTCCGCCCATCACCTAATTAATCTACACAACTATTTTCCAATCCGATTTGCAGATGCTACAGTTCATGTGAGTTCAAAAAAGAGCTGGGCCAATTCACCCAAGGGAAATCCTTTGAGAGTTATTAAGCAGAAAGATGAATAGCCAGCTGCTTCCTGGATCAGGGAGACAAATTATCAGCAGCTTAGTTAGTACAAAGGGGTAGCATCATTGTATTGTTCTTTTACTATTTCAAAGTATCCTCTGGCCACTGTCAGACATGATAAGTTAGGTCAACCTTTGGTCTGATCATGGAGGACAGTTCTCATGTTCTTATACATGTGTCTCACCCCTTGCTTGGTCTAGTCTTGCTGTCCCTTACTTCATTGATTCCACTGGTAGACACTGAGACTTGGAAGCTAACAGCAGCTAATCACCTCAAGCCCTGTCTGGGCTTAATGTTACTCCATGCGATGGAATTTTTTTGTTAGCAAGTTTGCTTGTCTAATTCTGCAGAAGGTTTAAATATAACTTCCTAAACTGGAGGAATAAAATAAAGTTGCAAAGACAAACACCTTCAGACCAGCAGTCAGATTACTGTAGTGCATCCTCCACTTTGGATATACTAAGAGATGTTATTTAATTAGCAGCTCTGTGTAGCGCTACACCCTTCCCTCTTGGATAACCAGCATGGATTGTGTCCTTTGGAGGAACCAGAATGGCATAGTGAAGACGACTGCCATCTGCTCTAGAGCAGCAGATGGCTTAATGAAGAGTTTGATCTTGCAAGCAGGAGAAGATATGTTCTCCCAGTTAAGCTAACTGGATGCCTCTGGAAGGCCGGATTTCCTTCCTGACTCTTCCTTGTGGTTTCTATGTGATTTGTGGGACAGGCAAACAGGTTTATCTGCCCCTGGTTCCTGAACAACCAGGCACTACAGCTGCAGCATATGTAAGGTACAGGAGCAAACACACCATTTGCAGGATGAGAGTCCAGCCTTTTCATCAGGAGTGGTGGCCAAAGGTATCCTGGAGAGGTGTCTCTCACTGTTATCAGGAAAGCTAGCAAGGAGGAAGCAAGCTCTGAGCTTGTGGGGAATAAAATGGTATTTTGCAAAGCCTTTCATGTCACATTTATCATGTTTGGACTTTTTCAGACTGCCCTTGTTGGTTAAACCCACTGGAAGAGTTATTGCATGCAAAATGTGCACATTGGACTCTGAGGAGGAAGGGAAGAAATGTCTTCAGCTAAGCTAATTAGATCACCTAAACAGGGTGTTCACTCAGGATAGCTGCTCTCTAGGGAGAAGAAAAGCTCTTCTCGAGAGAGAGAAATTCAGATTGGTCTGTATTGCACCTAGAGATGCCAATGAGTGGCTTATGTCAATGTTACATTTTGGCTCAGGCAAGTACTTTTGCAGCAAATTTTCCTGCCAGCCCCACTACCACACTTTGTTCTTACGCATGATCTTAGGACACCTGAGCTGGAGCCGCTTGGGATGACACTAAATGGCAAGCGGTGCTCCAGGAGAGCCCCTGGTACCCTGCACCCACAGCGGGCACAGCCCAGGGGAGCAGCCGAGGGCTCCTCTGAAGGTAGGTGACTAAAAGCCCTGACCCTCTCTCCTTGGCATCTGCTGCTTCAATTCACTCTTCATCATGAATTGCTCCTACTATGCCATTGCACTGGCTAACGGAGATACAGCCTTTTTCCATGCTGCCTGTCTGGGAAAGGTGGGGAGACCATGCTCTCATTGCAAGTTCCACAGATGCTAAAATTAGGTGCCATAAAAATGCCCCTTATCTTCCAGGAACCAAGTACAGAAACCCTGATTGCTCTCAACTATACTCAAGGTCACTGGGAAGTGTGACCGAGCAAAGACAGTGCTGAAAAATGCCAAGTACTTTGAAAAATCGAACCCTATCCATCTCAGGGTGGGTGCCTGCAATGAGTTAATGCTTTTTTGGGCATTGGCTCAGCAGCTGCAAAGAGGAGATAATCACCTCACTGGTGCCTTGAAGATAAGCTCGTTTTAAAACTTCTGTGGGATCCTGATATTACTGTGATAAGTACTGCAGAGAAACTCATTAGTAAATTTAACTCTCCATTCAATGAAGTGTTTAAAAGCTGAACACCTGGGATCATGCACACAATGCTGAGGATAAGAAGAAATACTAAATAAGCTATTCAATAAATAAACTCTGTGCTGCATGAGGCAGAAATTCCCAAGACCAAGCTCAGTGAGTGCAGGCTGTACACAAGCACTAATTTCAGGTTGCACTGGAAACCTCAGTTCTGATGTTGCCTAACTTTGGAGGAGGCTACTAACTCTGTAACCTTTAGTGTCTTTTTGGACACGTTTTTGTATGGAGCAAAAACTATTTTGTGAACTACCCGTGGGGCTCTCTAGGATGAAACATGCATTAAAATTGTAATTGTTATACTTAGGTGTGTTAATTGCGTGCTTTCAGCATGAAGACTACTAAAATAAGGATGTAGTAAAAGTGTATCTTTCTCCAACTTCTGTTTCTAGTGCTGGCATCTGAAGCAAAACAGCCAAAAATGAGTAAAGATGGCATGAGAGTTTGAATCAAACAAGTGCTGTGAACAAGAGAGCACACTGCTTTCGGAACCTGCTATGCTCTTTGTAGCACTTGAGAATATTGGTATCTATCTGTAAAACCAGAATGACTGTGTAGAAGCAAAATTCCTCACAAGAAACTTTCAAAACTTGTAATTCGCTTTGCATGCTAATTTCCCGTTCCCTGAGGAGTTCCCACACATGAGTCGAATTAATACAATGTGCTTGTTTCACATTTTATCAACGTATTTGTGTATCATTAGTCTCCTTTTAAATGCTTGGCTTTTTTTTTTTTTTACTTTAGGTTCTGGATTTGGAGCATCCACAAAAGCCATGTGTTTAGGGATGCGATACTGGAAGCCGGAAAGGCTGGAGTCTCTCATTGAAGTGAGCATTGAATGCGGACGAATGACTCATAACCATCCTACAGGTAATGTCCGCTGACATATTGGTGTGCCGAGGTTCCTACAGCTGCTTTTCACTTCTGCAGGGACTAACACAGCTCTTGTGGATTCACCTGGTTAAACTGCTTCTGCTTTGCAGACTCCAAGGCCTTGGTTTGAATTTTGCTTGGATAGTATATGCATGTATGTATTACTTGTGTAAGTTTGCATATTTACATATTTAAGGCCAGGCTGGATGGGGCTTTGGGCAACCTGGTCTAGTGGAGGGTGTCCCTGCCCACGGCAGGGGGGTTGGAACTAGGTGGTCTTTGAGGTCCCTTCCAACCCAAACCGTTCTGTGATTTGCTTGTATATTATACAAGGCATAGGAGTTTTCCCTCCTAAAATCCCAATAACTAACCACAACCCAGCTTGTCCAAAGCCTATTCATGTCACTTGCCCTGATCAAATTTAGGAGTCATGTGCATCTAGATGACTCGCTGTTATCATGCAAGTTTATGGTTCAGGGGATAATATTTTTCTCTTGACAGGTTTTGTCATATCCAATCACTGTCAGTAAAGGTAGAAAGCCAAAAGAATCTAACTCCACATATTTTAGGACACAATCTGAAACATTCTTTAAACAAAACATAAATAAGTAGATTTAATGTTTTGAATATTCAGGTCTGTCATTCTGATAAGTTTATGCTACGTAAGTGTGTATTCATTCTGTCTGCTTTAAACAGCAATAATTAAAACCATAATGAATGGTGACATATTCAACATGCTCTGTGCTTTGAAGCAGTCAGAAAAATTATCAGGATGGCATAAAATTAGAGGAAAAGAATTCAAAGGCAGGCAGAAAATATCATTTAGCCAATATATTAAGTCCATGGTGCATTAGCAGCAGTAAGACTGCTTGCAGTTCTGCATCTCCCACCTCAGAAACGACTTACTAGAGCCAGAAAACGGCAGCAAGGAGCATGTAAGCCATCAAATGCCTTCCATACAAGGAGAAATTATACCCAGAAGGAGTTTTCAGCTGGGAAAAGAGACAAGTGGCACGGTGGGGAGGCAGGGAGGAGAGGGGTGGAAGGGCCACCATGGACCTCACTGCCGTCCTGAAAGGTGCCAGGGAAACGTCAGTTGTGATTCTTGTAACTCAAAGACAGGGAAAACCCAATTGATATGTCAGTCAGGACTGAAAAAAACAGACAAAGGAAATACTTCCCCGTGTCGTGCATAGTTAAGCTGCAGACCTCGCTGCTACAGGCAGCTGCAAAGTCCACAGATATGCCTGGGTTCAAAAGGGATCAGGCAAGCGGATGAGAAGGGCTGTCGCTGTTAAAAGCAATCAAGCTCTGTAATTAAAATTGCCCCTAAGCTAGTCCAGAAGCTCTGGGGAGCGGAGAAGCCAAACCAATTAGGCTTAGTCTGTACTGGCATTATTTACAGAGCCAGAAACCTTGGCTGGGGCTTGCTTTCTTCCCCGGGGAGGGGCAGGAGGATATGTGAGGGCTGCTGGGAACAGGGCAACAGCAGCAGGGGAAGGGAGCTACGTGGGGAACAGGCAGAAAGAGACTGACAGCCCCCCAAAAACCTTCTGGGTGCATCCCAGCTTCTATCACCCTCTTCACCACCCCCTGCTAGCCCTTTGCTTCACCCTCTAAACTCTCTGTTGCCACCCTCATGCTGAATGTGACACTCAAGGATCTTTATGGCAGCTGGGTTAGATGCTGTCCATCCTTTGAGCTGGCTCTACCTGGTTTTTTATTCTTTCTGAAAGTCTCTGTTGGATGTTGGGTTAGATGTGCCTTTGGCCTGACCCAATATTGCAGGTCTTATGGCAGAGAGAATGCGTAATTGTCTCATCTGCTCTTGTAACCTCCTAAAATAATTTGGTTTTACCTTCAGCAAAAGTCCATGCTTACCTTTATGCTCGAGTGAACACTTTTGGACACATGCACCAAGAGAAGCTTACACATCAATACTTTGCTCACCTGGGGCTTATTTAAATGACCGAGTCATTTTCTTAACCTTCTTTTGCTTGTTGCACTGGGTTGGTTTTGTTGCCTTTGACAGAATGCCAAGAGCATAAGCAAATATGAGAAACAAGCCCCTCTGTTTCTGACGTCATGGAAGTGTTGAGTGCCCATTAACGAAAGTTCATCTTAAGTGTATTCATAGCCAAAGAGGAAGACCTAGCTGGGCAGGCAGACAGCATATCTTATCTGGACGATTGCTTCTTTCCTCTAAGGGAACATGGACTTATTTCCTTAAAGGAAAGAAGCAATTGTCCTGGTCAGACATGGACTTGACTCCTTAGAGGAAAATGAGCCCAAAACAGTGTTAGATGTAACAACCACAGCCCTTGAGCTAGATGACTCTGTAAGCAAGGTGATATAGCTTGTAATTGAATCACTTTGCGCAAGTCATTTATTTCATGTGACTTCAATTAGAAGATTTTCGGTATCACATTAGTGGATGATGTTTATTTTTGACCCCTACCTCAATTACTGTCACATTACACCACTGAGAACAGAAGCTCCCTTCCATGTAAAATAAGGTGTAAACCAACAGGCACCGTGCATTAGCCAAGAATCTCAACATGCCACGAGCCAGCCTGCAAACAGGCGGAGATAGGTGATGTGTATTTGTTAATCTACCTGACAGCCATGAGGCATTCTGCTAATGATTTTATGAAGGACATAACAAGGATGGTAAGAGCACAGACCGCACGTTGGTAATATCATTGTTATCTATGAATTCCAGGCTTTCTAGGGTCCCTATGCACAGCTCTCTTTGTGGCGTATGCAATACAAGGGAAACCCCTTGCGCAGTGGGGAAGGGAGATGATGAAGGTTGTGCCGATGGCTGAAGAATACTGCAAGAAGACCATTCGCCACATGGCAGGTAAAATGTCTGAATCAAAAGAGTTGTTTTCTTAAGACTATGTTCAGTTAGAAAGACACTAAAGAAATGTCACTCCCCAGTCTCTCTGGTTTTGCTGCTTTCCCCCCTCTCCCCTCTCCACAGGCTGTCCTCCTGCTTTCTCTGCTCAGACTGTAAGCTCTTCAGAGGTGGTGCTGCCTTCTGCTACCATCCGTTAGGTGCCTGGTATATCGATGGCAAAAATACGAAGAGAAATAACAATGAGAATGCCCTACTGCACAGCTTTATTTTTAGGAAGTCTTCAAAGATTGCTGGGCAGGGGGGAGGGAGGAAATTATATTTAGCAGGTTATTAGGCAAACTGACTGCTGAGATACGAATTATTCACCTCCCTTCCATCAATTAGCACAGTCCAATATTTTCCATAAGAAAACCCACTGACATTCCTCATTTTGCCAGAAGAACCCACTGACATTCCTCATTTTGCCAGGAAAAGTTCACCTGCAGATGCCTCCTGACCAAGAGTTAGCTTTCAACCACAAATTCAGATTTGACTTGTTGCTTTTCTGAACAAATATTTAAGATACAACCTGTTGCATCCCTGTTTTAAAACAACTGAGCATAACACAACTGCTGAACTTGGTATTGCTACTTTATAAATGTATGTCATCTTCAGGTCAAAGGTATTTTAGTCCCCTTTTGCCAGGGACTGAGGCATTTGTAATGGTGAGACCTACTGTGGACAGGCAAGTGTCACTACATTGAAACATTGAGGAAAGAGATTTTTTTGTTCATCTCAAAGGATGGCTGTTGAGAAAGATTGAAATCTTTACTCAAGAGCACTCAGTAATTAAGATTTATCTGGGAAGGAAAGCTGCCGCTTTAAAATCTGAAAGGAGCACCAGGGAGCCTTTCTGAAAGACCCCGCATTTTCATCTGCGCCTCATTGCACACCAGGATTTTTTTAGCCGAGACCTATGAGGAGCAGGTGCAGGATTAGTGTGAGCAAGCTCCTCTCTGAATGGCTTTGCAGCAGGTCCCTGTCACTCCACCCCAGCAGGACCCCTCAGCGTGGAGGTATGCGTGTTGGACTCCTGAAGCACGCTCTCCGGCTAGTGCCCGTATTGTTGAGCTTCATCCTATTTTGGTAGCAGGAAAAGTCTCCTGTGTTAAAGTTAAGCTCCTTGGCTGGTGAGATGCGCTGCAAAGAAATCCTGCCAGGGTCCTCCAGTTTTAGAAAACTCTTTTTTAGCTGCGTTATTCCCTGTGGATAACAAACACAGTAGTCAGTCGCTCAGGGCTCGACTCAGCACCCCTCTCCGATATTTGGTTGCAATTCCTTGTCAAATAGTCCCATGGACCTCAGTGTAACTGTTGTCTCAGGCTGGGCTCAAGGGATGGGGCAAAGCCTCGCTTAGGACTGGCAGCGTGAGGCTTCTGACCATGCTACAGGTCATCCATGCAACCAAAATCTCCCGCAACTGCTCGAACCCTTTGTTTCTGAGCCTGTGCCTTGCAATAATCACACTGTCTTGATTGTTGAGGTTCTGCATAGAGAACATGCATGTTCTGTGGTCATGGGGGAAACAGGAAAAAAAAAAAAACCAAACACAAAGAAAGAAACTTGCATTTCTAAAAGCAGTCTTGTACCCAGCAGATGGAGTGGGTGTTGGTAGTTTACTTCAACCAGCAACATTTTCTTTGTGTGACTATGTCTTTTCCTCAAGATGCTTTCCTTGGCCTAAGGGCTATGAATGCCCTTTCACTCTGTTTTTCTAAACATTCCCCCCCTTTTTTTTTTTAGGGTTCTAGTGAATGACTTCCTTGTAATCAGGCAAAACTGTGGCGTGGACTCAGGAAAAGGGCAGCTGGGCATTCCCAGGCGTAAAGGGCACATGGTTGAAGGCTCATCCCTGTCTGGGGCTGGGGAACTGGCAACCTTGTGAAAGTATCAGGTCCTACAAGACAGCTTGGAATTTTTTACATGGAGTTGAACTGCTTTAAAAATCTTAATTGCCAAAGAGGGTCACCTGTATGGTGATTCTTTCAGGCAAAAAAGTAAAATCGGATTACATCCTTCAGAGAAATGGTTTGGCTGCGTGTGCGCTCCTCAGCCACTTGCAGCACACAGCTGAGCGACCAAGCAGGACAGAGACAGGGAAAAACCAGCAATGCTTAATTTTATTTTACACTGTATGCCAATAGTCCCATACTGAATTGCTAGTTTGCCTTGGCATACTTAGCAGTCTTTCCCATTTCATCGATTTCTAATTCCTTACCTATCGGCTTTCCAGGCAGGGTTACATGCAGGCCTCAATTCTGCCTGTGTGCTTAACAGCTCCATGTGACTTACGGGCCTTTCTAACCCTTTATAAAAATCACAGAATCATAGAATCACAGAATGATTTGGATTGGAAGGGACCTCAAAGATCATCTAGTTCCAACCCCCCTGCCATGGGCAGGGACACCCTCCACTAGACCAGGTTGCCCAAAGCCCCATCCAGCCTGGCCTTGAACACTTCCAGGGAGGGGACATCCACAGCTTCTCTGGGCAACCTGTGCCAGTGCCTCACCACCCTCACAGTGAAGAATTTCTTCCTAACTTCTAATCTAAATCAACCCTCCTTTAGCTTAAACCCATTACCCCTTGTAAAAAAAAAAAAAAAAAGGTTGAATCAGAGCATTGGCTTGAAAATAAACTGAATTTAATAAGATTATTCCACATGCAAAGTTAAACATGATTAGGGATGTTCTTCCTAAAGTGATAGAAAAAGGAGAAAGACCTGTGGTTATTAAAGAAGGCATATTTGTATGAGCACAGATAGCGTGTGTGTGCTACTTACTCCTTTTACATTTCATATGTATTACAAGCAAATGGAAATCTTGGTCTTTCCTATCTGCCGTTTCCTGAAAAAGCACACAGAAATACTGTGAGAACAGAACAGAAATACTGGAGAAATTATGTGAATAAAAACTCGTAAATGAGGTAGGAGGCAATCTGTAATTAGGACATGCAAGCATTTTTAGATATTCTTTAATCAGAGTGAAGGAATGTAACAATCTTCATAGGATTCATTTTTGGTTGTTGTTGTTGTTGACTCTTACCTTTTCCTTGGAGTATTCCTCTAAAAATCTCATCTTGATGTATCTTAATGTAATTTTAATATACTATAAAAATAGCACAAGATCCTGAAAATATTTTCTTCTTCCTTTCACATCTTCTCTTTCCAGTTAGATGTCCCACTTCATATTAAAATGTATACTTAGTACATATGCCTGTTTAATGTATGTTACTATAAAATACCCATTTTTTCAGGTCAGTCAATACTGTCATTTTCTTTAAAATTCGTTTAAGTAGAACTGAAAATATTGCTGAAATGAAGTGCTACATCATTAATTTCTTTTGCATTCAGAATATCAGGAGCACTGGTTTTACTTTGAAGCCAAGTGGCAGTTTTATTTGGAGGAGAGAGAAATCAATGAGGAAAATCAGAATAAACCTGTCTTTCCGGACAACTATGACGCAGAGGAGAGAGAAAAGGTAACTGCAACTTCAGAAACCGCTTGGAAAGGCTCTGAACTGAGAGGCGTATTTTCAAAGAGACACACTAGTATTTTTCTACTGTTTCCAGTGCCAGATCACTCAGGAAGTCTTTAGTTTTTTCTGAAATTTCAAGAAAGAAAAAACAACTCCCGTTCCTGGCTTGGGTATGTACTAGCATAAAAAAGCAGTTGCCACCGGTCCTGGGGTTGCTGCAACGGGATGAAACAGTGCAGAGAGGCAGACGGAATGGTCAGATGCGTCGATGCCCAGAGCAGGTACAAAACATAAGCCACAGCTATTTGAGGGTTGGAAAAGACAAAAGTCTCACCGGGGGCTCTCATTAAAGCCTAATGGACCTCTGGTCTGAGTCCCACAGAACCCTCCCTGGGTACTAGGAGCCAGACTTGGTTAAGGTCTTTCGAACAGAAGACAGCCGTCCTAAGCAATTCTCCGCCAACGCAGGCTGTGCCCAGGCTAGTTTTAAGTGTCTCAAGAGATGGTGTTTCACCACGTCGCATGGGATACTATTTTATAGTGTACGTGATCTTTCTTTTGCCTCATGACTTCTGGTTATATCTTCTTAACTCAAGAGAAGTAATGTGTCTTCTTCCCTGGTGTTTACAGCTTTCTGCTATGTGCTGGCACCTCTCAAAGCTCTCCACTTAGCAGCTAAGCAATAAGTATGTAGTTCTTGTCACCTTTTCCCATAAATCAGTCCTTTTTTTCCAGACTATTAAAGCACAGTTCTATTCTGAGAAGTCACTTTATATATTTTTAGATGCTCATCTACGCAGTGAAAGGTGCCAGTGGAAGATAGATTGACTGTGGATAATAAGAAATTGCTCACTCTAAACATAAAGAATAGGTCTCCTTCCAGTTTTATTTTATTAATTCAGTGCCACGATCTTGTTACTAGTTCTTTGTTCCCTTCAGTTCTACTGGACTCTTAGCAGAGCTTTAGAAGAGATCAAACTCAACAGTATTCCCCACGATCATTTCAAGAAAGAAATGCACAAATTGCTAATGCAGAAACAAAATTTACCTTCATTGCCCGAGACCAACTAGTTTGGCCTATTGGGTTATTAATTTTGATGCATAAAAAAGGAAAATGTTGCTTGATCCTCAAACTCCACCATCAGCCAGAGATCACAGCCTGACAGAAGTTGAGAGACTTAATTTGCTTATAAGCCGAGTGTCCTTATAGCTATGGAAAGAATAAATGAGGAGAAGGTAACCATCCTGCCTGCCTTTTTCCCAGGAGTGCTTTCCTTTGCACTCTCTCCAGACTAACTGGCCACTTGTGTCTGGAGGTATAGCTGATTGCTTTCCTACAGGCAATTAGTAAAGCACCAATATCTGGCACCACTCTTGCCATCAGGCGTACACACATTCCT